TATTGTTGTTTTGAAAAGATATGCAGTGTAAAACTCAGTAAAACTCTTTATTGACAAATATTTGAACTTGTTTTGTTTAGTTTTTCACAGGTTGCACTTTATTGTTATCAGTGCAAGATATTCAGTGCAAAACAGGTGAATTGCAGCCACAATAAGCTATTTTTTGCCAAATATTAGTTGTTTTTTGCACGGATAGAACTTTATTTGCATTGTTCTAACAAAGTGATTGCACATTGTATTTGTTTTTGTCTAATGGAGCAATCTGGTTTACTTGAAAGTGTTTGAAATTTTCTTTATTCTCTTATTTGAAAAAGCACAGATGGAGGAGTCACAAAATGTTGTTATTTCAATAAAAGTTCAACATGGACCATTTTGTTACAATTTTGTTGGGGCGGTGGGGCATGAACATTTTTCTTCCTCCAAAGTGGGGCGTGACAGAAAAAGTTTGAGAACCACTGTGTTAAGGTAAGAATGTATGGCGTAGTTTTGCGGGTTGCCATTCTTTATAATCTGAGTTGGGTGAACAAACAAATGCAGTCACTATTGAAAGTAGCTTAGACATTTATAAATGGCAGGTTTCTGGCTTGGTTTCTGCAAGATGTCCCTTGTCGAGCTAGTGACAATTCCCTCTGACCAATCAGTGGTCTGCAGTGTTTTAAATCCACCTTCTAGTATAAGCTCAGCTCACTTGGAACCTCGACTGAGGTAGTACCAAAAAGAGTGCCAACTTTTGCTAACGGAAAACCAAAAAAGAGCGAGTCGAGTTGAGTAGAGCTTTGCCGTACAATTTAGTGGAAATGCGGCATTGGCTGTGTTTATCGAAGGAAAACTTTAGCAGGCCAGATGCTCTTCATGTAGAAGGTGAGTAACCTCATTGAGTAATGGTCTGTTAAACAAACTTGACATCTCACTGACCCAGAAATGCGGCAGATCTGTTTTTTAAGGTGAAATACCCAGCTCTCCAAATTTCCCAATTAAATTCACTGAGGCCTCTTCAATGCACTGTGAACTAGATAATGCTATTTTTGTTGAGTTACACTTTAATGACCATGAGAAACATTGGGGATGGCTTTGGTTTTTGGATATGAAGCGAACAAGCATCACAACTTCTAAATATTTAATCATTCTTGGCTATTAATGCGGGTTGCAGAATTTGAAGATTATAGTCTGAGTATGCAGCAGAAGCTCTGGGCTTTCCAAGATCCCTACAAAGATTCTGTCCTCTTGAGACTTTTGGTCACCAAATGAAACATGTGTTAATGCATCCACAGTGGATACTGTGTTATCTGATTTGGCTCTTCCGGTTGTCTGGCCTGCCTTAAACTCCGGAAGTCGCCATGAATCTCAAAGGACTTTTCACGAGGCCACCATGATGGCCACCACCAGCTCTACAGCTCAGTATTTGGTACCTCTAAACATCTGCAGACTTGCATTTTTTTTTTACTTGCGTATATTGACAGCCCAGAGGGATCAATGGGATATTTATAAAAAATACATCTCTTAAGATAGACGGAGAAAAAAATTGTGATGTCAAAATCAGTGGGCTGCATTCTTTGGCTTCACCTTTTAGTCACATGAAAACGTGAAGTTTATACTCCCCAAGATGGTTAAGTGATGTTAATCTGATTCACATGACTAAAACTCCATACCACAATGGACTGTTTGGAAAGAAGAATAAAATATGACCGTAAAGTGAAGTATTGGAGGAGGATATCTATTTAATCTTTTTCCCATGTTGCATTTTAAAGAGGGTAATTGTTGGGATTTCACCATAGGTAAGAAGTTCAAGTTTTCCGTTGGGTGTACAAAGAATGAATGAGTGTTCTGTAACAACTTGCGTATGGCAGGACCTTGTTTAACATGACCTCCGGAATACCAGCAGATCTGAAACCTGCACATAGCTGAGTCAGCTGATTTAAAAGTGCATGTTTTTGCACAAGTCCATGAGGGCATTTTTCAGCATTTTACGCTACATTGCACATTGGTGTTGAAAAGGCATGTCAAATTTATATAATATGCAGTTTAGTTTTGGGGAAAAAGGCTTATTTGCTCTCTCGCCAAGAGTGAGATGGTAAGATTGATGTTTGTAACCAGCAACTGGTTAGCTTAGCGTAGCAAAAAAAATGGAAACAGAACTGGCTCTGTACGAAGGTTCTAGCCATGTTCGTGGCACATAATGCCAGTGAATTATTATTTTTACAATTTGTTTTTTGTTTAGATAAAACCAACACAATATAACATGTTAATTATTTTATTTAGCCTTTATTTAACCAGGTTTGTCCCATTGAGAGCTAACAGCTCTTTTACAAGGAAGACACAGAGACAATTAATGCTGTTAATGCTGTTAATAAAAACATACCAGTGACTGAGCCGGTGTGTACATTAAGCATAATAATTCACTTATAAAACACAATGGCAGGTATGAAATCCACCGGATGTGTGCCTAAAAGGACAAGTGACAAAGCTGATCTTACCCTCTATCAAATGCAAAGTGAAGATACTCAAATAGCCTGGGTTTTGTCTATGAGATAGTTTGCAAACCACCCAAGTGCATGTTCTTAAAAAAACAATAGCTTTAAGACATCTAATTAAAGTATTGTGATCAACGGTATCAAAGGCTAGAGAGGTCTATCAACAGAGCAACACAGCACTGCTTCTTTAGAGGTGCTGGTCTGTGGATTTTGTTTCCTCTGGACGGACCCATGCTAACGATTTCCCCTTGTTCCTGTCTTCCTGCTAAGCTAAGCTAACCAGTTGCTGGCTCCAGTCTTTAGCAAATCTCGGAACCCATGTGCTATCAGTCTAACAACAATATAGCCTCTGGGGGCAATGACAAATATTTCCGATTCCTGTGTAGCCAGCGGATACTTAACGTATTTCTGGCCAAGACTCCTCCTACAATCCGTTGAGCAACTTGAGACGTTAGAATGGAGTTGAGAGACAACGAGACGACCGGTTCGTTTCACATTAGTCAGTTTACGCTAGGTGACCAGTGGGTTTTTTAGCAAAGAAATAACTAAATCAATGTCAGACGACAGCTAGCGGGTTCCAAGATTGCATTTCGGTTAGTGTGTTCCGCCTCTTTTGCTCTCCACATGGACTGTTTTCCTGTATTCAACCATGCCCACTCAAACGTTATTGGTCAATACTACTCCAAATTCAAACAGATTATAAACGGAAACCAGAACGCTTCCGACACCAAAATCTTGTCCCGTTGCCTACAGATTCTGCATTTCATCATATGCAGATATCTGTTCATAGAGATTATATTATTAGCGTGCATTCATGACTGCGGTATCAATATTCTAATCTAACTCTCAACATGACAGGCGTATTTCCAAAAATCTCAAACTAGTCCTTTAATATGTTTTTGTGGCCCTTTGTTATGAATAATCAGCAAAACAAGTTTTCACAAGTTTTATAAATGCAGGTCATTGGAGCCCCACCTATAGTCAAAATAAACTTCATACAACTAAAGTAAATATTTAGTAAACAGAGCAAATATTAAAAGTACATGTCAAAGCTCTCAATGAAACCTGCAAATAGATAGGAATGACTTGGAGTGAGGTATCTTCTCAATGCTTAAGAAGTGTGTTTGAAAAATGTCAATTGTCAATATGTTTCAATTCAAGTCTTCTGTCGCCATGTTGAGAGCCGTGTGCAGGCAATAGATATGGTCTGAATTCTGTATTGAGCACCTTAAATCTAGTCTACCTCTGATTCCGTAAAAAAAAAGTCAAAGATGTTCTATGACATGACATCTGACATTTTGTTTTCTTTGCTGTGGGACCCAACAAGTCTTAGCTATCTCAACTATTGGTTTGATCAAAGAACGGGTTAGCACTTGCACTACAACCTGCACAAAGCTGTAAATGTACAGTTTCCTACGGATTACTACAGTACTGATGTGAACATAACTCTAGCTTTTATACATTTCCACATGCATTTTCAACATTAATGATGACGTGATTGGCCTTTCATCTAACGCCATTGTATAAAGGGAAAAGCATAATATGTTATCTTCAAATAATTTTCAAAGCTGACAGAAATATGTGAGAGTGCATTTGTCTAACAGTGAGCTGCTCGAGATGATACTTAATTTGTACTTGCAGGACCATAAAACAAATCAAACACATTGAAAAAAAACAACAGCCTTGGGCAAGTAGCAGTTCACAGCAGTGATCCTGATGCAATGTTTTGTTCATATATATACTTTACGTATATACTGCATATATGCAGTATATACTACCATGAACGGTATATATATACTGTGTATATATATATATATATATATATACCGTTCATGGTCGTTGAAGTTGTGTGATCGCTTGGCAACCCTGAGCATTTTTTTAGACTGGCAATGATTCACCAGGACTGCAGGTGGATGGATTCAGAACGTACAGTATGAAACCTACATGTTTTGCAGGGAGAGGCAGATCCAGTGGCACTGCTTGAGTCCATTTTTGGATGACAAGAAACAACATCAAGAAAATAAAGTCAGTCTGAGTGGGGTTTTTTCGCAGGTAGAAAATGAATGCAATCAATGGAAGTTCGAGCCACAAAACCTGATATCTGCGCTCTAATGAATATGGAACTTGTACGAATTAATATCATCTTCTGAAGTTGCTTAAAAATCCGGAGGCAAATGTAAAAAAAAATTGTAATGGACAGAATTACTTATCTTTTATTCTGATGAAAGTTATGTCTCAACGATAATATTATCCACTTAGTTTTGTAGTGTAATTATAGGACTTTTGTTCGTAGTGAATTCCTAAAAGTGCATTGGGAAAAAAGAATTCACTCCATGTTTTGTTGAGACGCTTTATGAAAGTTTAGTGCAGCTGTACACCTGCAGCCTCACCAAATAAAGAAAATGGGCCAGACTTCAGAGTAGTGAACCCCCCCCCGCTCTGTTTTCGGGGCGGATCTTCGCTGCTCTTCCCCACTCCACTACTCCCAGTTCACTACTTCAGCTGGCAGAATTTCTTCGGCTGCGCACGTGAAGAGAGAATACTACTGCCGCTGGGGTCCCGCTCGCGCTCAGCCCCCCGCGTCTTTCATGCCTACTTTTAACCCTCGATGTCTCGAGCCCGAATGCTGTCAGCCGCGGCGCGTTTCATGCACTTTTCAGAGCCCTCGCACGGAAGGAGAAATATTTGGTGAACCGTGCTGAGAATGAGTCCCGCATAACTCCGGGTATTGTTGTTATCTACGTCCCCCTCCCTCCTCTCTCTTTCTCTCTCTCCCCCCCTGTCCCGCGCTCTCAGAGTTGAGTCATTGTACATAAGTATGGTAGATAAAGGCCCCTTGTTGACCTCTGCCATTATTTTTTACCTGTCCATTGGGGCAGCAATTTTTCAAGTCCTGGAGGAGCCCAATTGGAAGCTGGCTGCAGAGCGGTATAGTGCCCAGAAGGATCAAATACTCGAGGATTATCCCTGTCTGACGAAAGATGATTTGGACAAAATATTAGAGGTATGGTTCTTCCACTGCACACTTGTTGTTTTTCTATTGCTGTTGTGAAACACATCCTACTGTAAACCATTCTGTAAACTGCTGCAGGTTGATATCCAGTCCAAAGTGATTCACCTATTAAGTGTTGAATGAAATATGGTATTGCTGCATCTTTTTGACTGGCTGACTCATGAACTGCTCCTGAGAAATGACTTGTTGTAAGTCCATGGTTCCTCCTTGTGGGTCAACACACCCACACTTAAAAGTTAGAACACCATAACACCAACAAGCCATACAATTGTCACAGATCCCCTCATAAATGTTATCTTTGGCATCGTGATGATGATTATTTTATTATCCGGTTGAGTTGATTTGCTGTTGTAAACCTTGACGGACAGACAGTCTGTCTGGAGCAGTGACTATGATACCAGGGTGTTGAGGGTCAATCTGTAACCCTCAGTCCATGGTGTTCCATTGCTAATTTCTCATTAAAACGGCAGTTCCTCAACCGGTAGCAAAGCCGGTGTCGTTGACCTCTGTGGCTGCACTGTGTGTGTGAACACATGGTAAGTCAACACGGTCCACGGTTCCACAGGTGTTTGCCTCGTGACATGTTGTTTGTTCACTTCCTCCATATGGCTTTTACGCCCTTGGTTCTGTGCGACGAGAAGAAGTGATCTTCGATGTGTCGAAGTCCCTCGCCGAAGAAGAAGAGTGTATAAAAGAAGACCTGATCCATGTATTTGCAGTGTACACAGCAGTGTATATGCAACACGCCACCTCAGAGGTATCCTTTTCCTGCATGAGTAACACCAGACAGTGGTTCCTTTTTTTTGTTTAGTTTTTTTGGGGGCTTTTTGCACTTTCAAGTATGACCAGAAACATGTCTCAACCTGTTCCCCCTTTACGGGCCCACATCAGTATTAGGGAGATTTATTATCCCCCACCATCCCCCCTTCTGCTTCCTTCTGCTTTTCCTTTTTGTGTTTTGTAGGGGGGTTCTGAAAGGGATATGCCCATGACCCCCCACCCCCATCTCTGTAACAGCCAAATCCCTGCAATGGCCAAATCTTCCTCTTGATGTAGTCTGGGAAATAACACAGTTGAGATATTTTGGACTTAGTTTTTTGGTACTAAAAAAAAAAGCTGTGAGTTTGGTTGAACTCTTTGTAAAACTGAAACATGTCCTGCTCCTGCGCACAAGGACAGAGAACCCGTCATGTCCTCTGTGGGGTTCCACGGCACCTTTTTAAAAGATAAAATCAAATCACGTTTGGCTTCCTAACCCCTTTTAGCCCCCCAGTCTGCAGAGACACCTGCTGCAAAGGCTTTGGAGTTGGTATATTAATACGGGAAAACCTACAATATATTGCCCTTGAGTTGCCTTTTATCAACTTTTACTTTCTCTAAGGTTTCCATTGTGGAAACTTTGCTCGGTGCGTCAACGATTAAAATATATACGCTGGCTTAACGAGAGATAGCGACACTCTTGTAAAAGTTAGTCTTCTGCTGTTTTATTAACAAGGAGTTTATTATTAACTACAGGACCCTTGAAGTGGTCACAGTTTACAGATTGGATTTTATGGTCCATCAATGCTGGCTGTTGAGGAGCTGTTGTAAAAGTTCAGCCAGGCTGCACACATTAGCTCCACTGCAGATAACAAGTGAACGCTCCGAGCGTCCCGGGTCGCAGCATGAAGTGTGAGCAGTGTTTCTCCGTCGCCCAGAAGCACTGTGGACATGGAGAGGAAGAGAATGCATGATTTAGAAAGTGGACAGCCTAGTGTTCCAAACTGTAGTTGAATGCATGTGTGTGTATACATCAGTCATACAAGTAGGGCAGGTTTTCATCGCTCCATCATAGTGTTGATATAAATAAAAAATAGGCTGTCCTATTTGTATCTATTCTCTTTGCAGAATAGTTGCAAAGATTAAACTCTAGATAACAATAAATGTTTGACAGTTTCAAATCACACACGAAACTCGTTATCATTTATGTAATAGATTGTTAGCATGGAAGTAGTGATTTCATCCTTAAAAAGTTGTGCTGCTAATTAGTGATTGGTGGTAGTGATGTGTCCAACCAACGGTCCAAAACCCAAAGATATTCAGTGGACTGCTGTTATACATGACAAAGAGGAAAAGCAAATCCTCACATGTAAAAAGCCAGAAACGATGAACGTATTGCTTTTTGTAAAATATTATTTTTGGGGCTTTTTTGCCTTCATTTGACTGTGCAGCTGAAGAATGGAATGGGAGAGAGGGGGGATTATGAAGGCAAATCACTGTCAAAATCCGAGAGCGCAAATGAGATCCACACGCGCAAATCAAACAGCGGCACGAGTATTTTACTTTGACGAGCGCTTTTACATCACTCCGCGAGCAAGATTCTCTCTCGCTTTAACTTTAACCGGCTCGCTTGCGAGTAGTTTTTCTTTTTGACAGTAAGTGGGCGGACCCAGTCTCCATTGTATCTCTACATCTAATTGGTTACAGTCCTCGTCTTTAGATAGACTCAGTGGCGGGCCGTGCATTTTATACCTGGGCCTTCTGTGCTGTCCTACTACAGTTGAATTACCTCCTAATAACCTCATTATGACGCATCAATCCAGCAAACCTGCAGCGGATCCACGCATTCCACCATACAAGAGCACGAGCCATTGAAATATTCATAAAAAACGACACGATAGATAAATGAACAGTAGTAACGTTACTATCTACACCAAGCAAAACCCTAAAAATGTTATAATTTCTTCCATATATTTCAATTTGAACTCTTACTCCTCCAACTAAGCTCTGCTGGCAAGTTAAGTTTCGTTTCACGATGGTCACGTGCTCGCCCACTGACCAACACGCTGCACCTTACTGCAGCGCTGCACATGGAAACTGAGCTGCACTTAATGCTGACGTAGTTGTAGGCCGGCTAGCAGGCTCCGGCACGTCAAAGAATACGCCCAACATGTCAAACTAAAGATCTGATTGGTTGAAGACTATGACAATCAACAATATCGTCCCCATTCACTTAAACTGCAAAGGGATTCACTTGTGAGTCTGCAGGCCTCGGGCCTCTGTTCTTACCTAGAGACACAGAGGTGAAATCTGATTGGATAAAAGCTCTACTTAAAACAAGCTGCACTGGAAGCAGAGCAACTGAGGAAGACAGTAGCTGTGCAATGAGAAAATAAGATAATGGGAAAAATATTTTTATAAATTACAATACATGTTGTGTATTTAAGAGAAATTATTAAATTATAAAATAGCCATAACTTTGTGATTCTGTTTAGGCCAGCAGAGAAGGCCTTGCAGGCCCTGACGGCCCGCCACTGGATAGACCGGATATCACTCTGACGCAGACGCTAGGTCTGATAGAGGTGGTTTTCAATCTGCCACTAAAAACTACTCCACTACATCTCAGGATGTTCTACATTTGTCTGACAGGTTTTGAAAACTTTTCAGACTGTAGAGGCTGATGAAATACAAATTATGTTAATAGCGTTTTGAAATACAATAATTACAAATGTGTTTATCTTGTAAATGGAGTCAAGTTGCTCAGATTGGTTTAAATTCACTCCATCATTCTATTACAGACATTGTGTGTTTGATAGTCAAACCTCTTGTGACAAACAGCTCAAAGAAACTCTTTGATGAAACATGATGTGATCATATTTAATCATACTGTTAGATGTAGAGATACAATGGAGACTGGGTCTGCCCACTTACTGTCAAAAACAAAAACTACTCGCAAGCGAGCAGGTAAAAGACTCGCGTGAGTGAGTTTTGCTCGCGGAGTGATGTAAAAGCGCTCGTCAAAGTAAAATATGCATGCGGCTGTTTGATTTGCGCGCTCTCGGATTTTGACAGTGATTTGCCTTCATAGGGGATGCAGCTAAGGGCCGCAGGTGTGACTCAGAGAACTTGGCTTTGGTACATGGACGCCCGCTCTATTGGGTGACCTACTTGGGGGGCCCCCGTGTTTGGATAAAAATCAATCGCTTATCAAAATGGTTGCCGATGCATCTTCTTTCGATCAACCAAATGTTGCAAGCTCTGACGTAAAGCAAAATTAATTTGATAATGAAAGTAAAAACATCAAATAAATACATTAAATACAGTTCCCCACTGCTCTATACCATTAACAGTCGAACGCACACATAGTGAGGCATTGCAGCTTTGGTTTGCAAACGGCCTTTTTGATTTCCCTTTTAGCGTGATGGTCCCGTCCGTCGCACATGACTTAAAGACCATGTGTGGCCTGGAAGAAGAAGTTCGAAAAACACTGCTCAACACTCCACTGTCACATGCGTAAAGTGAAACTTGAGCCCCTCCTCCGACTGAAAATGCACAATGAAGTAGCGCTCTGTTCGCGGGGATAGTCATGTGCCCAGGGGCCGCTCGCTTGAAATAGCCAAGTCTTTCATCCCTCTTTTGAAAAGTAAATAATAATTTTAAAAAAGAGTTGGACTGAAGTCACGGAAGGTAGCAATGCATTTACATGTCATGGGTTTAGGTTTCGGCGATGAATTGACAAGACAGGAATGTCTTTCTTGCCTTGTATGCCTAATCTCATTAAGGATGTTGTCATCCTTAATCAGACAATGTCACAATGTGAGAATGTCACCATTTACGTCAGTTATCTGGAGTGTCAAAATGAACTTGCAATGTTTTTTTAAGGCAAACAAATTCAAGAATGAATAAAAACACCACATGTTGCGTTAATGAGGCAAGTTTTTCAACCTCATGCAGAATTAAAACAGCCACTCACAAATCTGTTAATGGTGTAATATGCTCTGCTTAACAGATGGAAGAATCCTTTCACTGTCTGGGGAATTTTTACAGCTTTTACCAAATAAAGAAAAAAAGCTATAAAATGGACACAAGTTGTCTGTACTTTTTCTTAATCAGCTTCGGTTTCTTCTTAACATTGATTTGTGAAGATCAGACGGCATCCCACACCTCCCATCTTTTTTTTTTTTTTCCTCCTGGCACCCTGTGGCGGATCTTTGACTGGTGCACACAATGAATTCTCAGCATTGTTTCTCAAACGCATTGTTTGCCAGCCATCTATCCGCTGTATCAGACATCAATACGTAATGACATGGAGGAGAATGAGTGACTTCCCCATTTGCACGTCGGGTCAATCCTGCCCACGAGCAGCTCTAGGAGCTGGGGTTGGTGTGCTGAGTCGCCAGCTGTCCTGATAACAGTTGGAGTTTGATGTTGTAGCGGTTACTGTGCTCTGTCTGTGGGAGTGGGCTGCTGGCAGTTGCCTGCATGTTTGGCAATGTTTTCAGATCCACAAAGGAATCCTTTCGTAGTGTGTAAGCATAAGGCACCACATTATGATTTTTCAAGTCAATGTTGTGTGTTTCATATCAAGCTTTTGTTTTTTGTACCACGACGTTGTGTGATCCTTTTTATTAGGGATGTCTGAAGATTGTTGCTCAACGTTGATTTGTTTCAGTGTAACCATATCTCAAAATATATGCTCAATGAGTAAAGTATTATTGCTGTAAATATTGGATTGTTTCAGTAAATCAATCAATTGACTGCAATTTGCGCTGAAACTTTTAGTGCAGATTGTGTGTTTCAGAAACATTGGTAGCAGAATGTTTCATCATCGATTATCAAAAAGTGTTGCCAATTATTTTTCTGTCAATCAAGTAATCGTTTCGGCTCTAATCTTACTTACAGAAAAAGTTTCTTCTATTCTTCTCCCCCAGTGCTTGTGCCTTTTGACTCGTTCTCAGTGTTATTTGTGGCCACGGGTTGACCAGTAGATGACCTTTTCAAACTCTTGAGGACCTTGTGCGTCGCCACGCATGTTTGAACATCTTTACTTAGTGAGTGCTGTAGTAGGTCTTCTCCTTCCTGCCCTCTGTACGGTAGAAATACAGGATGTTTAAAAAATGAACAGCTAACATGTTAACCTCCAAAGTCTGCCCATTTAAAAAGGTTATGTTCCTTGTCCTTTACTTGCGTGACGGGATGTAGCTTACACTCTGCCCTCATTGTATTACTGCGAATCAGCATTTTGTACGTCTCAAACTTCAGCGTTTTTTATTTGTCAGGCAGACTGTGAACATTTGCAAAACACCCTCATTATGCCAGTGTAAGGAAGGTGCAGAGCCGAGCACACAGACCAGACATGACTCACAAACATAACATTTGTCACTTTTTCGATGTTTTCCACGCAGCAAAAAAAACAACCTCAAACTGTTAGTCTTGGCTAGTGGGGTAAAATTTCATATTGGCTGCAACTCAGGAATAAATGAATGGTTGCTTGTTTGCGGGGATTTACCAAAAGTCTGTCATTTGAATTTTAAATTTACTTTCATGTGATGAGACTTGCCTCATCACTTTCCATTAGTACAAGCCACAGTGCTGGAAACAAAGTATATGCGATGCCCTTTATCTTTTGTCTGTGGGCAGATTTGATGAGTGAACATGCGTGTTTATCCCGTGTGTCGTTTTCCCTCTTTAATTTCTGGCCATGGTTGGAACACAAATTCGGTCATCACATCACATAAAGCCTAACGGAGGAACTGTGTTGTTTCAGCAGACAAAATAATGGCCTCCCCTCGTGCTGGTAATTACAGAGCAGAGCTGTCACAGACCTGTTATTAAGAACCAAGCATCTTCCAGTGCTTAAGGGCTCATGCAAATTTTGCCAAGCCCTGCATATTTCCCTCCAGAACTCTGTCTGTGTGTGTGTGTGTGTGTGTGTGTGTGTGTGTGTGTGTGGTGGGGGGGGTGGCTGGGTGTTTGCGAATATCCAACTGGGGGGGATTCAGTTTCTGTTGTGGCTGTTCAGGCACACGTATGGTTGGGAATGATTGATGAAGCATTTTCTGTTTCCTTTGGATGTCAACACTAAAACTTCCTTGTAAGGAGTGATCTGATGTATCCCATGCTCTAGGGGGTTGGAGACAAATTAAGCACAAAATAATACCTTTTTGTATATATTCACTGCAATTTTGGATCTTGAGAAAGAATAACAAACTTTAGAAAGAGCAACCACTGAGGAATCATCTAGTAGGTGTTTAAACCTTGCATCATCATGGGATTATGAAACATCTGGTTAGGCCTTCCTGTTTCCCTACCAATACAAGCAGTGGTCGGCACCATAAAGCCCTCTTGGCGATGCATATGCTCAAGGGTACCTGATGTCGTTTCACCTCATCAGTGCCACTGGAGATACCATCTACGTACATATCACAGGAAGGATGTGGTGGAAATAAATGGAGCTTACACACAACAAACTTCCTGTCTTCCTTTAGCTTAAGCTTTGTTTATACATAGGGCGTACCGACAAAATGAACTGTGAAGAAACAGAAAGACAACGAGTGGAACTCATAGATATGCCCATAGGCTGTAGGTGTAACCAGCAAAGAGCCATAAACCAGCCTCCACAATGCCGAGGACGAATTGTAATTAACTGTAAACTCATATCTCATTCATGGACTACTTTATTGCTTTTGTACAACCCCTGTAAAGAAACAAGTTAAGTATTACATGCATTATAAGGAAACGAAGGTTGAATACCCTGTAAACAATTTGATTTGGCTGGCAAAACATTTACTCAAATGAAGATTTTTAGGACCTAAAAAAGTATATATATTTATGCGAATTGGCCTTCTTTGTAAAATCCCCAGATATGTAAATAGTGCTTTTATCAGTGAACTATTTGTCACAGTCACGTGATCGCGTGCCAAGTTCCAAAAGATCAGAGGTGCACAGCCAAGCGCAGCGAACACTTGCACCACGCGCCGGCCGTGATTACGGCGAGTATAAACTATGCTTAAGGCAGATGGGACCCTTGTTTTTTAATACTGCCAGTTGATAACACCCAATTAGTTTGGCCTCCATTAAATTCTCTTTTAAGTTGAAATCAACCTTATACTTGATGTGTTTCTTCTTTGTCCTCAGGTGGTGTCTGATGCTGCAGGCCATGGGGTCACTATAACTGGCAGCAAGACCTTCAACAACTGGAACTGGCCAAATGCTGTTATCTTTGCCGCCACTGTTATCACCACTATCGGTAAGTACTTTGTATATGTTCAACATTCAAGAGATCTAGTTGTGATAGCAGAAAAGAGGCAGTTATTCTAGTTGTTTTGTCAAAACTTACTTGAATGTTTCAGAGAATGAGACTGAGTAATTTCTTACTTGGTTTCATTGGGACAGTCGATGGCAGACAACTGTTGGATGTTTTACCAAAGTGTGTATAATTTAAAGGTGCAGGACACAGATGAGATGGACTTGGAGGCATGTTTTTGTTATTTCCATCTCCTCCTATAAAGCCACACTAAAGTAACTTAAGCAGTTGGTTGACACATCCCAACCCTAACCACTTTGTTTTCGCTTTCGATTTCTGAAGGATATGGGAACATTGCCCCTAAAACGTCAGCAGGCCGTGTATTTTGCATCTTCTACGGCCTGTTTGGTGTGCCTTTGTGTCTGTCCTGGATCAGTGAGCTGGGAAAGTTCTTCGGTGGCAGAGCCAAGCACCTGGGCCAGTATCTAACCAAGAAAGGATTTTCACTGGTAAGTTGATAGGAACTTTTCTTTCCACTTCTGGGAAAAATACTTTCATTTCTTTGTGGTATCACAAAACCTGCGCATGATGTAATGATTTTTTTATTCTTTTTTTTCAGAGAAAGGCTCAATTTACCTGCACGGCTATATTTCTCCTCTGGGGTGTGCTGGTGCATTTATTCCTTCCACCTTTTGTATTTATGTCCCAAGAGGGTTGGACGTATATTGAAGGCTTGTACTTCTCATTTGTCACCTTGACCACGATTGGTTTTGGGGACTTGGTAGCAGGTAAGCTGAGAAATATATTCTGTGCATTAAACCGATTAAATTAAACCAGGCCATAACTTTGGAATCAAATGACAGTTGACTATTTTGTTTGTCCTTGCAGGTGTGGAACCAAATAAAGAATACCCAACTCTGTACCGTTACTTTGTGGAAGTGTGGATTTATCTGGGGTTGGCCTGGCTTTCTTTGTTCTTCAACTGGAAAGTGCGGATGGTGATTGAGGCCCACAAGGCACTAAAGAAGCGCCGCAAGCTGCGCAAGCTATCTCTTGATGAGCTCCGGCACTACAAAGAGTCTCACAAGGCTGCCCTTCGTCTGCCACCCAGTCCTAATGACGTCAACATCTTCAGCTTCCTGTCCAAGAAGCAGGAAGGCTACAATGACTTGATCAAACAGATTGGCACCAAAAAAGATGTCAGGAACAACAGCGTTAATGCCAACACCATAAATAAATCCAAAGATATTGGTCGTTCCAAGAGCTGCCATGATACTCCCATGTTTAACGGACACACCATCCTTAGTCTGGACCGATCGCCGCGCCAAAAGAGGCGCTATAGTTTCAGTGACCGAGTCACTGTTGCTTTTTCAAAGTCCAAGAACTACCTCCTGGGCTCAGACAACGGTTTGCTGCTAACAGAGGACCACGTTGAAGGTGACTTAGAACTCGACCAGATGTATGAGAACCAGCTAGACAAGGACGTAGACCTAGAGAATGGAGGGGTGGGAGATTGTGGAGCAGGTGGTCGAAGGATGTGGGACTCAAAGGAGTACCATCCCCTAACATTCCAAAATGCAAACATTACTTTTATAGACGAGGAGAACTTTCTCAGCAATAACTTAGAAGAGGAGGAGGAGGAGGAGGAGGAGGAGGAGGATGATGATGATTCTTCTAAAGCAAAACTATCCATTACTACATGTGATGAAAACATTGAAGCAAACTCCAAGGAGGAGCATAGTTCTGAATTTGAAGGATCTGTGTTCACTAGTGATGGTTCAGAGCACAGCCACTCCTATGAGAAACTTGTGGAGGAATATGCAAAGGAAGAAAATAACGAATCTTGAGATATAACAAAGCCTTGAACTGTCTAAAGTCAAGACAGTCAAGTTGTTGAATTGGCTGGCATTGAAGTATTCTAATGTGAATTGTTTGAGTGAATATCAGAAGTCCCATTGCACGTTTGGGGGTCTGATACTACAAAGCCAAGATCAAATTTCTATGAAATGTTCTGTTCATAGCTGAGAAATGGAAATCCCCATCATGTTGACTGTTCCTATAAACCCTTGAACAATCTTCTCGGTAAATGTGGACGACAGAGGGTGACATGTAACCCATGAGTATTTAACATCTACTCTATATATGCCTTTTTATGTAGTTTGAGAAACTAAATAACACACATTTATTGTAATGTCCAAACAAGAACTATTTACCATGAGTGCTTTTTTTCTACTCCTAGTCTGATAAGAAATTATAGGTGGAAATGTGTTTGATTACCCATAGATTACTTCTATGCATATTCACCATATTGGTGTTTTTATAATATTTATTAAAATGAAGGACATAGTAGCATTTATCCAATGGCTGCATGAGTTTATATGTCTCCCATTGCACAATTCCACCAAACAAGGACAGTTCGAAGTCCGTTTCAGTGCAGACTTTCTTTTTAAAACCTGAGCCAAACATCTGTCCTTACAGAAAATGAAGGGGGTTATAGGCCAATTCTCTTTTTTTTTTTTTTTCTTTGGTATGTCACTTGTTTCTTTTGTGAAGTCCCTGCTGCCTAGTTGTGTCTGAGATTTCTGTTTATTTTGACTGTGACTGCACTAGAGGTTAACAGTGATGCATAGCAACATCTGAGTGTCTAGAACCAATATAAACTTGGAAAAGAAAGTAATTCATTTTATTAACAGAAGCATTTACGGCAAATCTGAATATCCTGCCAGAGAGACACTCTAAATTATGATTTGTTTGCCTTTTTTTTGTTCCAAACCTTTTTGACCGCTGTAAAAAAGAAAGTAGAAAAACAATCATTGGAAACGATCCTCCTATTGTGACATAATGCGCAGCCTTTCAGATTATCCTCAAATTGCTTCAGGGAACACAAAGTTTTTATTGTTGCTTTGCTGTTGACGTGTCAAGTGTCGCTCTGTGGCTTCTGTGCTATCTACCATGGCAGTGCATAATGGGAACACAACTTTTACAGCAACAATATTTTCACATTTTTGTCCATTTAGCACCCTTTTGCTTAATTTTATTTGTCATGTAATTACTGGCTGAAAGCCCATCGGCAGCCACAAACACAGCTCTGCTCGGACAGGCCATGGCCTTGCTGCTCATGTTTGCCTTTGGGGGCTCGCACTTATGACGAGGTTAAGCCAAGGTTAACTTGTGACCGATCAATGCTCTCTTGACGTACATTTCAGTCATGAGACATGAGGCCAGCAGTATTTCCCCCTTGTTTCACGTGTACACAAAACCGTAAACTCGAGGGACCAAAATATAATGTCCATTGCTTTTCACAGTCTGACTCTTGAAAGGGCCCTTAGTCGCCCTACTCACCCGCTGCCTTTTGCACACAAAAACTTGAAACTGTTACAGTGAATATTAAGATGGCGGTGTCACTCTACGCTACTTTGAATTTAGAACTCCTCATGGGTACTGTAAATATCGTCAGGATTTTTCCTTAACTCCTGACTCTGCCTTACAGATGGCTGCTATTAGGGGAAAAGGCCTTAAATCCACTGCAAAGTACAATGTAACATCTGTTAAATGTACTTCTATTCTTCTCACTGAGTCATTATATCTTTCACACTGGGTGTTTTTAATTCCCCCTCTTGTGTTTCGTCACAGGGCCATCACCTAAATCTATGTGAGCATTCCTTTGTCTTTCTCTCATTTTCACTGGTTTTCGTTGGTTCGGCATTGTTATACAGTACAATACATTGTTATATGGTACCTGCCTGGACTGAATTTCAAGCTTGTCTTTAGATTATTAACTCAGAACAGGTTAGGCTGGTTTAACCCACTACCCCAAGCTTTTCTCTTAATGTTGCTCCATTGTGTAAAACTCCAGTAAATTTGTTTTTTTCGTTGTTTTTTTTAAGATTAAATTATTGATGTTTAAAAAAGTTTGCATATGAATTCCAAACAAAACTGTATATTTCATGTAAATAAACATTTAATAAAACCTGAGTGTTACTTTACCTTACATTAAAGTGGCACTCCAGTGGTTTTAAACATGGAAGTTCCGCTGCACACAGACTGCATACACAGGCACGTTCCACACATGCGCAGTAGAAAAACGTGATGCCGACTCATTTTCAGGTTCATACTTGTATTCCAAGTGACCTTGAGGGCAACTGTGGCTAAGTAGATAGCAGGGCAGTCCTTCAATCAGAGGATCGGTGGTTCGATCCCCGGTTCTGGCTCTGCTAATCGCATGTCAATGTGTCCTTGACACTTAACCCCAAAAATTGCTCCTGTAGCTGAGCCTACGGTGTAGAATCTGAATTGTAAGTCGCTTTGGATAAAAGCGTCTGCTAAATGACTGTAATGTAATGACCTACCTGAAGACCCCTCTATACACGCCTTTCAAGACGGATGAACTGTGGAGAGGCCCTGCCTTTATAAATCAATATCCTCTGTTGTCCCTCAGGTCTTTTGCTCTTCACCTCACAAAGAACACCTCTGCTGAGTTGGGCTAGTTGGCCTCAGCGGTTCCTGTTGGCTATCCGCAGGGTCGCTGATTTTGAGTTCGCTGTCATAAGCCTTGTGTCTCGAGATGAGTGCCGGGCATAAATGTGTGAGGAAGAAGTGTTCTGTTTGCCCCTAACCAACACAAAGTATGTCCCGTCTGTCTAGGGGTCGTCCATGCCAGGAGGGCTTTGACGGAGCTTGAGCCCTGTGCGTTTTGTCGGCAGCTCTGGTCTTCAACCCTGAAGAGGCGGGTCACGTTTTGTGGAAAGACCATTGTGCATGATCTTCCCTCCAAAATTCAGCTTTTTTTCTGAGTCCAACAGCGAGGAGCTTTACGGTTCAAGTCCTTATTGGTAACTGAGTGGACCACGGGGAGTACGTGGAGGGGACGGCCATGGTTGAGACGGAGCGCCCCATGAGCGTGAGCCAGCTGCAGGGACTGGCCACTTACCATGATGATGTGCTCGACATCGGTTTAGACATGCATGGCTTGTTGGAAGATGAACAGGAGGCTTTATTGTCGGAGCCAGGAAGCCGCCCCTGCTGCCTCGGCGGGCCAGGACGATACATCCTTCCCTTTCTGTGCCTCCGTGTGGCTGAGCAGCTGGAGGTAGAGTGGCCCTCTCCTCCACCGGCTCAGAAGTTGTGCGGTTTGCAGGGCGCCCAACTCTGGACCTGCGAAGTGTTAAACAAATACCTCTGATCATACAAGTTACAAATGCTAGCAGTCACACAGCTACTGAGCGCAATTAGCTTGAGAGCTTGGTTTACAACTATTGATCTCACAGTCACAGCAATAATGCGGATCACGGGCAGTATCTGGTGCTGCTGTTCGGCCTGTCCACTCCGCTTCCACACCTTTACCAAATGTGTCGAGGCGTTAGCTTCCATTCGGAAGAGCGATGTTTGCATCTAGATGATTGGGCTCTGATAGCAGCCTCCCTGAGGGGGTGGGGTGACTCTGTACGATGGGACGGCAGTGATGGGGGATCTGGACGTCGGCACAGTGCAAGCTGCACACCAACCCACCTGGAGCTTCTAGCTGCTTTCTTAGCTCTAAAGCATTTTTGTCCAGTTCTGATGGGCAGGCATGTTCCGATCAGGACGGACGACATAACATTGGTTTCCTACATAAACAAGCAGGGAGGGCTTCCCCTGCTGGAGCTGTGTCTCTCTGATGTGGGTAAGTGTTCATTTCCTGTCTCTCAGAGCCACCCGTGTTCCAGGCCACCTGAACCTATGGGCAACCTTCTCTCTGGGGGGGGGTCCACTTGTGAGAGAATGGAGCTTGCACCTTTTGGTGGTGGCTCAATTATGGGATCTGTTTTAGGAGGTGCAAGTTGATCTCTATATTTAGGTTGGGGGGGGGTTTCAGGCAAAAATGTCTGCATTTTGTGTTAACTTTTCTATTTCTTTCTTTATCCTTGTTTGTCTGTTTCTTCAGGAGTTGTCAGCAGGGCTGGGCTACTTCCTGGAGAGGCCAGCAAAAAGTCTATGTCATCCACTTCAAGAACGGGTAAGAGAGGGAAACTGATGGTGCTGTATAGATACAGGAGGTCGGTATGGGAAGAAAAGCGAAATCAGTGACTGTAGCGTTGCGTGTCAGTAAATTCTGAATCATAAAACAGATTGTTAAAGAAAAAAAATGTTGACAGTATTTACACACAGAATAACCCTTTTGTGGGCAATTTTACTCACTTTGCCGTTACTGTGTTACAAATCTGCGAAAAGGTTGATAAAAGGGAAAATGTAGACACTGTTGTAGATGGTCCCTACTTATCCAAATGAAATTCTGGTATTGAGATATCAATCACACCAGAAAAAATGAATTCAAACTAAAAAAAATAAATTTGGTTTATTAACGTTACTTTACATAATTTCTTACCATAAATACCTTGAAGCTTCAATAAGGTACTTTCATTTTATGTTGATTTTGGGTACGTGCCTATATAGTTTAGTTTTATGTTCGTGCATTTTGTTTGGACTGAATGCCGCGGCTTGACACTTTCTGACCCCATGTTTCCGTCTAAGGCACCGGTGACTCAGAGGTACAACTCCGGGACGTGCTGCACAGCAAGCTCGGTGTGTACCAGCTGCAGTACTTCATGTTCACCGGCTGCTTCCTCAAAGTTACCAAATGCAATGACGTCCACACCAAAAGTGGAACACCGGTTCCCCTGCAGTGCTCAACAGAGAGGTACATCGTCTTAGTAGCAAGTTTAATAAAAAAAATACCATTTACTAATAGCATTGCCTGCCACTAAGCTGTATCAACCCGCCTGATATCTTGTATTTTCTCTCCAGCTGGGCATGCTGAAAAAGATCCGTGGTCTCGATCAAGACAACATTGTTTGTTTCCTGGACGACTTCGAACACAAAGGTCACAGTTGTCTGGCTTTTGAAATGTTGGATAAGAATCTGCACGAGCTGCTGAGGGAGTGGCGCGGCAACCGGCTCTCTCTTCTGGAAATCAGACCCATCGCACAACAGGTATCTGATCCTTCTAGCACCGAGCAATGCTAACATGTCGACTTGTATATCTAACGCCAGTGGCGGGCCGTGCATTTTATACCTGGGCCTTCAGTGCTGTCCTGCAGCTCAAACACCATCTAATAATCTCATACGCGTAACAATACGCGTATTCGTATTAAACCGTTCGGTACGAGGCTTACGAACCGAACAATACGTTTGAATAATACTAGTGCATTTGGAAAATAAAGAAGCTTAAATTGTGGGAAATATAATGTTTTCGGTGGACTGCGCTCATGTAGGAGACAACGGGCTTTGTGACCTCTGAACCCGGAACAAAAAAACGCAAAACAAAAGACAGCTGAGGCACCGCACTTCTGGGAGGCTACGCTAAACTAGCTTAACAAACAATAACTCCGCGCATGATGGTATGCTTCGTAATTAACGGACAATGCATATAGTCCAAATCTATATAATTAACACAATGACAATGACAAACTCACAAGAACCAGTCATATATATTCATATGACAACAAAGCATGACAAATCAATCCAGCCCTTCTACTGCATATAAGTAATAGCGATACTCTGTAGTGCATTCGTTTGAACCATGTCTGAACTTGTTTCCAAAAGCAGCTGAACCCAGAAGAGAACTTTGAGTGCAACAGGAGCTTTGTGAGCCTCCTGTGCGGGATGCTGCTATGAATCCGCAGGAGAGTTATACCAAGCGAAAACCGAACCGCATGGTGAGGAAGCCGTTGCCTCTGCTGACCTGTATGACGCTGTTTCAGCTGAAGAAGGAACAGTCAAAGTTGACCTCTATGATGCTTTTTCAGCTGACAAAGGAACAGTCAAAGCTGACATGTACAGTATATGATGCTGTTTCGGCTGAAGAAGGAACAGTCAAAGGTGACCTGTATAACGCTGTTTCAGCTGAAGAAGGAACAGTCAAAGCTGACCTGTATAACGCTGTTTCAGCTGACAAAGGAACAGTCAAAGCTGACCTGTATGACGCTGTTTCAGCTGAAGAAGTGTATATTCCCTTTGACTCTGCGGACGCCCACGTCGGCTCTGGTGCAGTCTCAGTCATCGGCTTCAGAAACCGATACGCGAAAATAATCAGAAGATTCTTCGGCAGGATGTTCAGGACCCTGTGCTGCTGCTGCTGCTCCGCAAATGTCGAGCATGATGATTTGGTTCATTTTTTCCATTTTCCATGTTATTGATGACATGATATTATGATTTTGTTAATTGTTTCCATTTTCGGTGTTATTGATGACATGATGTTATGAATTTTCCTTGTAAAATAAACCAAAATATAAACTGTATCAAATCTCTGAGGTGTCAGTAAGCAAGTGGTAGTACTCACAATATCATCAATTTGTTTACTTACTGTTTTATAATCTGGTGGTTATTTTAATCCAGGATATATGGTTGAACACGTTTAACACAAATGGTAACGTATGGTTTTGTAAACTTGTAAGTACATTTAATCAAGTAGTTAATATATAATAACGTCCCACTGACAGAACCTGCCAGCGTGTACAGTATTTTTTACTTTTGATAATTAGGTCAATTTGACTTATAATATTTTTGTACTTTTACAGAAGTAAACCTTTGAAAGCACAACTTTTACTCACAAATAAAAAATATTTTTGGTTCCCGCACTGTCCTTTTTTGGCAAGTCACCCAAACACCCACACCGTTAGGAATATAAAGGACATGAAGGTGATACAGGTCCTAATACGGCACCTCTGTTTTCTCTTAATATAGTAAGGGTTTCTAGATGCTGGGAAGGAAACCATCAAGATCATTGTGTCTTGATGATTACCGCTCACCGCTGAGGTTCAAAAATAGGGATATCAAAAAACACAAATGTAACACAAATATATTCAGGGTGCTACGGTACACACTAACATGTCCATACAATTCCAATCATGGCCTTATTCAAAGCTGACATGATAGCACTTAAAGAGTCTATGAAGACATCTTGATGAACCAATGCTGCTTGATCCATAGTATTTTGAGATATCATGTGTTCACACACACTGCAGACAAGTGTCTTTCCTTCATGCTTCCTCCTTTAGTATTAGATATGTATCCTTGTTGCACAGTCAAACCTGTATTACTGAATTTTGCTTAAAATAACAGCCTTAGAGTAAATTCTAAATTGAATTGAGAATGCAAGGGTGCCGTAATAACCTGTACAACTCATGTAA